GGCAGTTTAGCCCGCCAGCCCCACGTGCCACTTTCTCTCTCTCTCTCTCTCTTCTACTCCTACTCCGTACACTTCCATCTTTTTCCCCTCCCATCCCTCCCCCCCTCTCTCTCCCACATTCTCTCTCCCACCCCTCTGTCTTATCTGCTTTGCTGCAATTCGCAGCCCCCCTTCTGACAAATCCACTCATCGCATCCGTGGTTCCCTTTAGGGAGTCAGCTTCTAAACAGTTTCTGTACAGGACGGCCCGTACTGTACATTTAGTTGTGCGTGAGACTGCTGTCACCGCTCGACCGGAGGCTGAGATTTTTAGGTCAGCTCAGCCTCAGTTGCTGGCCTTGCATTTGTGCATTTCAATAGCAGCTGACTCGTCTGATCCCTGTCAGATTCAACCTCAAGATACATCGTCCCACCTTGGTTCTCTCCTTTTTGTCTGTCTTCGTCCTTCCTTCAATCGTCCTTAATATAGCGGGACTCCTTCGTCAACTGCCTCAAATACAATCCAGTCAGAGATCCTTCCGCATTTTGTTTCCCGAAGCAATATACTTTTCCTTCTCCGACTACAATGACCACTATTTCGCACCACATCATGGAGGACTCCCAGAAGAGGCCTAAGGGTACGTGATCCTGTTAGTCGCCCGTGGCTAGTCATGTTTCGATCTAATCTCCTGGATACCAGGTATCCTCAAGAATTCTAGTGGCTCGGTTCCGCAGATCGCACAAGTCCATGACACCTTGACCGTTCCGCAGAACGACCCCGACGGGGTGGACACCAAGGAACTGACGCTGCAAAACACTCTACAAAATGCCGGTCGCCGTCGCTCCACCTCGAACACGCGCCCAGGATCATCGTCTCGGCGACAATCGCTGGCGCACATCCACGGTCAACCGGAAGAGAACTCGCCGCGCTTGAAATGGGACGAGGCCAACTTGTACCTGACCGAACAGGAGAAGACGGCCAAGATGAAGATCGACGAGCCCAAAACACCGTTTGCGCCCCACTACGACCCTGCTGAGGACGAGGAGGAGCTCGAGGCCGAGAACACCTTGATCGACGCGCAAGGGGTGGTGGTAGATGAACTGGACAAGACCGTGAAAGCACCCAAGAAAGGAGTGGCCGAGGATGAAATCCCTGATCTGGAGTTGGGCGAGCCGGAAGACTCATTTTCCGGAGATGCGCACGCGGGGGCCAATGACCGAATTGTGCGCGAGCGGAGCCTGAGCAACGAGTCGCACCGAAGCAACAAGCATGTGGTGATGGGTGCGGGCGAGGCGAACGGGGAATCGCAGTCCGGGCCCGATGGGCTGATCACGTCGCAAGAGGCCGCGGAGAAACATCGTCAGTTTGAGCAGCACCGGAAGAAGCACTATGAGATGCGCAATATCAAAGAACTCCTGGCGTAGGTTTCTTTCACACACACCACCGTCCAGATCGGGTGAGTAACTGACGATTTTTTGCAGCCATCCCGAGGTGGATGAAATGGATGAGGACGAGGACGAAATGGATGAGGACGAGGACGAAACGGAGGAGGGATCTACAGCCGCCGCGGCGCCACCTCCCATGCCCCAGATCCCAACGCAGTTCCCTAACGGCACCAGATCTGATTAGCCCGGGCAACCAGCGGGTTCTCTGCTGTGCTAATCATTTCATCTTCATTACCTGCTGCATTCATTTCCTAGCTGTATATTCCCAAGCGTTGGCTTCTGGTCCAGACGGGCCTATATGTGTTCTATGAACTGTAAATCCTTCACTGTACTTTTGTTTTTCTTTTCCATCCCCCCTTTATTCTTTCTACTCCTTAGGATGGATTGAGCTGGCTAGTCTGATAGATGAAATGGACATAGCTAACTGACTGCATGCATGAATCCGATTGAACTTGTTCTTGCCTGTCTATCTGTATTTAGAATCTCTCCCGTCGTTAAAGCAGGGAAGGGATCCCTGCAAGGGGACTCGTGATTCACCTCGTTAAACCCAGATGCACCGAGGAATGAACAGGAAGGATTGTAATTGAATGAGAAGCTGTAGGAAGAGGTTAAAAATAGCCATAGGGCATCCCATCGGGGCCCAGAGCCGAGAATAGCAGCAACACCGATTGATGTATCAGATGGTCAGGCCATCCAAAGCCGGGCTGCCTGCACTCTGTCAGGGGCAGGAGAACTGATAACTAACTGTGCTGTAAGATGAGTTGTCATGTCTCTCTGCCTTTGCCTTTCTTTTCTTCCTTCCTGTTTCTTATTGCTTTTTACTCTCCCCCGGCCCACCCCTTCTCTCTATCTTCTTTTTTACCTTCATCTCACCGGGGGCTCATTCTGAAACACCCTTGCGGCAGGATTAAATTAGCCAGCGACCGTTGGGGTTTAGTGAGTCGTTCTCCGAGGCTGTTATCATTTATCAATCGTCCAGCGCGGAGCCATGGCAGCTCCACAGTCTAGACCCCGGGACCCAATAGACAGTTTCAGGTTGAATAATCTCGATGCGAAGTTACTTCCGGAGTACGTAGTAGTCTGAACAAATGTTTCGTAGTAGTTTCCAGTGAGTAGTAACTTACTCCGTAGTTTGTGTGGTGTGACCTAGCTGCTAGACTAGGTGGTGAATTCGTCGTCGTCGTCGTCGTTGTTGTTGTTGTTGTTGTTGTTGTTGTTGTTGTTGTTGTTGTTGTTGTTGTTGTTGTTGTTGTTGTTGTTGTTGTTGTTGTTGTTGTTGTTGTT